TTGCTACAAACATGATAGCCAAAAATCTATAAACATCCATTGTCCATGAAATAAATCATTAATTCAACACCTTATGCAATTTTGCAATTGTGGGAAACAAAATCAATAGTAGCAGTATTTATAGCAACAACTAGCAGCATTTGCAGTAAAAAGTAACCCAAAAAACAAATCCAAAAGCAATATTTATAAGGTTTAAGTACCATTTTGGTCCCTCAACTTTTCACCTTGGTACCAAAATTGTCCCTCACCTTTAAAAAGTACCAAAATTATCCTCAGACTTTCATTTTCGGTACCAAAATGGTCCTTCCGTCAGTTAAATGACAGCTGTCACGTTAACTTGCCAGCAAAATCACTGCTTTTTTTGAATTTTAATGATATGTAAATCCAGCGAACAAAATTTTGCTACGGTGGCATGTTTTTTCCACGTCAAATTGCTCTCCATTTTCAGATTCAATTTTTGTGGGGCCCACATGAAAAATTGTTTTCCTTTTCCAGTTTCAATTGAGTTCCCGAAGGCCAAACAGAAACAAAGAAAGCAAAATTTTCTCAGCAACCAAACAAAAACAAAAGGGGATCAGATATATTTTCTCAGCAACCAAACAAAGCAAGAAGCTAAAGAAACAAAGCTCGCGAAACCCAGAACCTAGGTTCTTCGAGGAACCCAGGTTCTTCGAGGAACCCAGGTTCTTCGAGGAACCCAGGTTCTTCGAGGAATCTAGGAAACAAAGAAAGCAAAATTTTCTCAGCAACCAAACAAAAACAAACAAAGCAAAATTTTCTCACCAACCAAACAAAAACAAAAGGGGATCAGATATATTTTCTCAGCAACCAAACAAAGCAAGAAGCTAAAGAAACAGAGCTCGCGAAACCCAGAACCTAGGTTCTTCGAGGAACCCAGGTTCTTCAAGGAACCCAGGAACGCAGTTCTGGGTTCCTGGGTTCCTCGAAGAACCTGGGTTCCTCGATCTGGGTTTCGTGGGTTCCAGATCGTGAGGAACCCAGTTCTGGGTTCCTGGGTTCCTCGATCTGGGTTTCGTGAGGAACCCAGATCAGAAACCCAGATCTGGGTTCCTCAGGGAACCCAGGAACCCAAAACTGAGTTCCTCAAGGAACTGGGTTCCTCAAAAAACCTAGCACCGGGTTACGTTCTGCCACCCAACACCGGGTTGGGTTCCTCGCGAAACCCAAATTTGGGTTTCGCGAAGAACCAAGATGAACAAGAGGAAAACCCAGCATCGGGTTCCATGAGGAACCAAGATGATGAAGAGGAAAAGGATGGTGAAGAGAATGGTGAAGAAGATAAACGGTGAGATGATGATGCCGAGGTTAGGCTGAGGATGAGGAGAAAGTAGAAGATGATGAAATGAAAGTTAATTAACTTAATTACTTTTAAATTGATTTAATTTATAAATTCATTTTTATTTAAATAAAAAAATAACACATGAAAAAAAAAAATGCCATCTCATCACTTTTAGCATGATATATTTTCCACGTAATTGTTATTTTTTTAAGAATATGATTTTGTTGGCAAGTTAACGTGACAGCTGTCATTTAACTGACGGAAGGATCATTTTGGTACAAAAAATGAAAGTTTAAGGATAATTTTGATACTTTTTAAAGGTGAGGGACAATTTTGGTACCAAAGTGTAAAGTTGAGGGACCAAAATGGTACTTAAACCAAAAAATTACTGCCGGCTGGAGCCGATGAATTTAAGGAAAAAAAAATTTTGAGCTAATTAGAGTTTGGAAAATTTTACTTTTAAACCTTTACTTTCGTATTTTTCCAATTGAACCTATAAAAATTTAAAATAATTTATTTTTGTATATATGTAAGTTAGTGTGCTTTATAGCGTTTAACAAAAAGGAACGAGTCGGATTTTTAAAAATTAAAAGAAAAAACACTTTAAATTATGTTTATAATAAATTGTTATTAAAAATTATTAAAATAAGGCATAAATCACCATAACTAAGGTGCAACTAAAAAATATAGATATTAGTATAATATGCTTTCAAGATATATATTACTCAAAAAAACAAGATTTTTTTATCATATTTAATATATTTTCTTAAATTATATTAAAGTTATCTTCATCTATTATCTCATTGTATATTTATGTAAATTTAAATAGGTAACTTATTAAGTTTTGTAAAATTTTCTAATTAACTAAAAACTTTTAAGTCCACTTATCATTAATATAGCATGAATACGTTGATTTATTTTTAATTATCATTTAATTTATAATATATATTATTAAAATTTAAACCAAAGCTCCTATTTGCACCCTCCATTTATTTTTTTTTCACGGTCAACACCTTTTAGAATTTTTCTTCCCTATTCACACCCTTCACTTTTCAAAACCCGTGAAAAACCCAATATTTTAACGGGTCGTCACGGTCCCGTTAAAAAATATATTACGTGGCACCCAAAAATTGACGTGGCACTATGTAACGTTAGTAATCCAACGTAGACGCCACGTATATAGTAAAAATAATAAAAAATTATAATATTATCATACATAAATGGCATTTTTTCTTTTTTTTCTTTCCCCCCTCATCCTCGGCATCATCTTCACCGCCCTCCATCTTCACCATCCTCTTCTTTCTCCATCTCAATCGAACTGGGTTCCTGCGCGGGAACCCAGAACTGGGTTCCCCGCAAGGAACCCAGAATTGGGTTCCCAGCGAGGAACCCAGATCTGGGTTCCCCGCGAGGAACCCAGTTCCAACCTCCTTTTTTTTTTATATATATATTTTAAATGTATTTATCTTAACTTTCGATTTTATGCAAAATAATTTGGAATAATTTTTTTTTATTGAAAAAGTGAGTTTTTTTGCTGGGAGATTGTTTCTGAATAGGTTGCCAATTTTCGTTTTTTGTGGGAAAAGAGTAAAAGATGTTTATTATGTTTTTGTGCAGTATTCATTTATTTATTAGTGTGTGGATGAAAATCTTAGCTTGCATTCATGTGAAATTAGGTTCTACGAAGAACTCAGAACCTGGGTTTTACGAGGAACCTAGGGGATGAGGATGAGGATGGTGAAGATGATGCCAGGAAAGAAGAAAATGAAGAAATTAAAATTAATGATGATTTAATTATAACACATTATAAAAAAAAGTTCTGGGTACCTGGTTCCATGAGGAACCCAGGAAGATGAAAAGGAAGATGGTAAAGATGATGCGGGAAAGAAGAAAATGAAAAAATTAAAATTAATTATGATTTTATTATGCCATATCATCAAAAAAAAAAGTCCACATTGGATTATGTTACTATTTAATGCCACGTACTACAATTTTTAACGGTTATTAACGAGACCGTGACGGCCTGTTAAAATATTGGGTTTTTCACGAGTTTTGAAAAGTGAAGGGTGTGAATAAGGAGGAAAAATTCTAAAAGGTGTTGATCGTGGAAAAAAAATAAATGGAGGGTGCAAATAGGGCTTTGGCCTAAAATTTATTGCATAAATTCTCCTCTTAATTTCAATAATGTTCTTTAAATCAATTTTAATAATGATCAATCTTTAAAAAGTATTAAAATAATAATATATACTAATAATAAAATAATAATTTCCAAGTATAAAAATAATAAAAATTTATATTAGTTCATTAGAACCAAAAATTGTAGTTTTGAATCAAAAAGCTAACCAAAAAAAAAAATAGTTGTGGACCAAATATTCTTGCCAAAGCGAAGAATAAAAATCAAGAAAAAGTAAAACTTAATTTAACTTCGCAAAAAAAAAAAACTTAATTTGAAGAGATTAACTTCCTTAATATTTTGATAAATTCTTAAATTCTTATCGTTTCTAATTTAGTAGTGGCCATAAAAGAAAGTCAAAAAAAATTCTCAAAAACTGATCTTGAATAGGTATTTATAGATTTTGAGGTAAACCTAATAGAAATGAAGGAAGACCCACGTCAAATTAAAGAAAATGATTTTAGGATAATTTTTTATTTTATTTTTTTATATAATTTTATATATTATTTAAATAATTAATTATTTTTATTTATTTAAAATTCATAATATCAAATGCATTTACTTATTTAATAATATATACGTAAAAATTTTATTAAAAAAATATAAAATAATTATTCTTATACCATGACCCCAAATTAAATTGATTCACACGTGGAAAAGTGCAACAATTGGCTAAAGAGTTGAAACCTCAAAATACACTATCCACGTCCTCACCTATTTTCTTTTTCTTTCTTTTTTTTGGAAAACGATCAATACGATCAACTTATATTAAAAGAAGATAAATACATTAAAAAGACTTTCTTATCTTTTAAAGAGGTAACGTAACAAAGTATTATTTTCATTTGTTATAATTAATAACACTATATATAGAAGTACAAAATAACCCAAATAATAATAATAATAATAATAATAAGCAAAATACTATATAGCATGCCTAGCTACTCTCTTACTCTTAAGCATTAGTTAAAAGTTGAA